TATTTTTTTGGCAGATTTGATTTATTCTACTTCATAAATATACAAAGACTAGAAGGAAATGCAGAGAGATGAGGAGAAAATTATAAGACCTTAACTTGGTTGGTCATGAGATCGGACAGATGCTGAGCTGCCGCTCAAACAGTCAAGCACTGTTGATAAGCACGCATTTGGCATACTGTATATGATGCTGGCTAACTGGCTGCCTGTACAGATGTAAAGACATTTGGCTTATTTGGCTTAGTTAGGCTAAACATCTGAATAAGTAACTGAATAAACAATTTTTACAAAATGAGCTAATAATGAGCTTAATTTTTTTTCTTCTAAACAAACTTAAAGAGTTTTTTTTTTTTTTAAGGAGAAAAAAAGCTAGATGAAAGCTTAAAAATTAACAGAATACTGTGACTTGCAACAAGAAAACATAAAATTTTGCATGAAAAAAACAACATACTTTTGACCCATGCATGAGCTTAGGAGAAGACTGAATCAAATTGATATGGATTAACAGGGGCGTGTAATAGGAATGGACTGTACACTGAACCATCCTGGAAGACAAAGGGCAAGCAGTTTCAAAAACCTGGCTATCACCACCCACCAGCCACATCAACAGCAAAGTGGGATACAAAGAGTGCAGAAGAGGAAAAGCAAGCCGAGGTGTGAGGAGCTTTGAAAGCTAGGAAGAAGTCCCTGCAGCTCTGTTAGATGAATCTGGTCCTTTTAAGAAAAAAAGGGTGATAGGTGTAAATTTTTTGGCCAGTTCTTAAAAGAAGACTGACTGCAGAATAGTCAGTAGACTGTAAGATGAACTTCTCCTGAGTCTTGCAACAACCCAGCTGCTTCACAAGGTGAGAATACCTCCAGAGTGATGTTTGACTCTTTTAACCTTGAATAATATTACATTATAACATTATGATAAGGTATTTTGAATCCCAAAATAAATTATTTTGTGTTGTTTGTGCATAACAATGCTCAAGTGAGGCCTCAGTCACACAGGCCTATAGACCTATTGGCAAACCTCTGGAAACCTCCAGTCTCTAAGGAAAAATGTGCATTCTCTGACCAGTTGCGAGTGATTGCTGGAGGTCGCTGCCAGTTGCTGGAAAACCGGTACAACCCCATTCATACAGGCCTAGAGACTAATCAGTGACCCCCTGGCAACTAACCATCATTAGGGCAACGTCTGCTTTTCACAACTGGTTGGCAAGTGGTTGTTGTTGGTTGCTGGTAGTTGCTAGTAGTTTTCACTGAAAAAAAGTGTTGGCTGCAGCAGTAAGGCAAAACTTTTACTTTGAAGTTCTTAATTTCTACAGCTTGAAAAGTAAATGCAGACAAGTCTGTGTCTTCCATGCAAACTACGAGCAATCTTCTAGTGACCAAAGTAATCACAAGCACACCCTCTTTCCAGCTAGCAACTACTCACCAACTGGGTGGGGAATGCATTTTTTTTTCCCTAGACATGAAGTTGGCAGGAGTTCATCAGCTACACTCTAGGCCTGTGTGTCTGAGGCCTAAGTAATTTCATATTTTCTTATTTATTATATAACACAATTAAAAACATAAATGGAAAACCAAGGAAAATATTTTTTTTTTCAAGTGTTGACATCCAAATTTCTTTCATGCAATGGCAATTTGAAAGATGATGTTGCAACATTCTCTATTTGGTTACTGAGTAAATAGTTAAGTAAAAACACTCTGTAACAAACTTACCAAACCACAATATGAATTTCGGTTACTCAGTGCAAATCAAAAAAAAGCCTGAGTCCAGACGCAGAAGTTTTGCTGGCCTGCCGAAAACTGAGGAAAGTATCAGATTCTCAGAGATGTTGACAAACCTCAGCCGCAGACACTACACTTTCCCTGTCTGCCGCCTCCTGACATTTGCGCAGTTGGGCTTCAAAGCTGAGTATTGACTGAACAGTGAAGAGGCCAAGCAACGTGTCTGGACAGAAGAATTACAACAGATCCGACTACAGTATATCCTGGAACTTCATGTTACCTTGTTGACTTTTTCTCTTGCTATCATTGTTTTTGTTCTTTCCCTCCTTGTTTGACTCATTCCTTTTCTACACTATTTCTTACTCTTGGCGCCACTTGACAGGCAGGGTTAGTAACAGGGTGCTGCTGACATAACAAGCCAACCCTGCTCCAAGTAAGACATATATAGTACCTCACACCTTCTGTAGTAGAATAATTACAGGAGACTGGCTGGATGCTGCATGCACTGGGAAGCTGCTATCTCAGTATATAAGTGAGGGCAAGGCCAGCATGATCTATCTCAGCCTGAGCATCTGTCCTCCCCACTCCAGTCTTCTTACTCTTTCATTGAGCCTTGGCACCAGTCTTTCTAGCTTACTCTCACTCTCTGTGACCTCACGTTGCTCACGCTTTCCTGGCTTTGAAAACAGTGGAACCTCAGCCTGATATATGAAACCGAGACTTGCATCCACCACTTCTCCAGAGGGAGCACTGTTCCACCCCTTAAAGATCATTCTAGGCTGACAATGCAGAAAATCTGCAACAGTTCACAAGGGCTAAGCTTTAAATGTGAATCATACAAGCACTCAAATAGCTTCCTGGAAGTGTTCAGAGTCAAGTATTCAAATAACTATTGGATTAATGTTTAAATGAAGACATTTTACAATGTTGGCCGAAGCATTTATTCTGTTCAGAAAATGACAGAGAAATATGTTGGTCACAACAACTAATGCTTGGAAATTTGGAAACTTAATAGCACTTCTTACAAGCAGTTAGTCAGCTTCGGGAGAAACACGACAGTGAAAAAGTCATAGCTGGGGTATTCATGATTCAGAAACACTGTTGGCTTCGAAACAATGTTGAACCTGCAGCCGAGTCTCACTATTTATCCCAGATCAGTGAGTCAGGACGCAAATATGTCCTGTGAGTCAAGAACAAAGCAAACATATGCATAGCAACTGTGCAATCTTCAGAAGTCTTGTATTGATTAAAAGATTTACTATGACTTCAAGATAATTGTTTTAGGAAGGAGGATAGGGAAAAAAACTCTTTTATGAACCATCTGCCAAAACATTTCGTTAAGTTTTATTGTGCTACCACAAACACGTGCATAGTTCATCCGGCATAATTCCATAATACTAGCGAAAAAGCTCAAAAAGACACAAGACCCTGGCAATTAGCAAGAGGAGCGCCATAAATGTCAGACATAATTGAGAATTTTTCAGTGGGTTGGTGGAGAGAAATTACCCAAATGACAAATTGTCCAAAAAAGGAAACGATGATCTCAGTGCCCAAAACGAATTATGGCACTTAAACTGACTTTGAGCGGATTAGAAAAGCACTGGGCCAGAGTCCAAAGTAGAGCACAAATTGACAAGATAGGTCTGAAGCTGTAAGCAATAAAAATCCATCAAAATATTCCCGGAAACAATTACTCCATTTCAACATCATTGACCAAAAATATGGCTCTAGTCATGGTAAAGTGATTAATCAAACCAAAAAGTCTTTTCCAACAAGACTGGAACTAAAACAGTCAGTCATCCAAGCCAAGAAACTATTAAGCCTGTCTGATTAGCAGTCTTTGGAGAATTTGCTGAATGCGCTGTGAAAGAGGCCTTCATCTGAGCAATTATTAGCTGGATACATTATAGTCGCAAAGTTATTCCAATAAATCCAAGAACAAGCAAAACTGGTCAAAGCTTAAAGAAAGAAAAGAATCTCCTTGTACTATTTTAATACTTTTGTACCACGCACCATGTTAGGTTTTCCTACTTTTTACAGATTTAACTTAATACTTTTCAGAGCAAGTCAGAAAATTCATACTTGCTTTATTAGATATTAGTTCTACTTAGTGTGTATTAAGGATTTAACATATGAACCCAGTCATCTGGCTTGATTTATTGCAATCTGTATGAGAGCAATTGTAGCTGAAATAAATACCTCAAAACCACAAGAGCTGTATATTCACATGCATTCAACAGTGAAGTGAAAGGAAAAATCTGATGATGAAATAAAAAAAAGCAGGTTGAAATCTTACTCTTTATTTGCTCAGATTAGTTTTTCACACTCTCAGCTCTCTGCTCAGTTCAGCTACGGTTCGTCTGCTGCTCTGCACAGCCAGCAACCTGCCCGGTTCTCTATGTGTCCATAATCTGCTCTGTCACGTCTCAATATTCCATCTGTGTCCCGTTCAGCCTGAAATAATTATTCGTCTTTTATCTAACTACAGTCTGCTAGCTGCTAAACGAATGACAACAGATGGCTAATCTGGTCATTGCTAATAGTAACACGGCTAACGTCAACATGTTAACACTAAAGATAACGGTTTAATAGTTTCGGTGTTGTTGAAACGGTATCTTTACTGACCTCTGAAAACCTTCATAAAGTGTTCAGTGTTATAAACATTAACTACTTCAGCTTTTCGTGAGCAGAGGAGCTTTGTGTTCGTCTGTCCATAGCAGTGATGTGAAGTTGTGAGTAAGGTAGAAGATGCAAAGATGGCACTGTTTGCATCAATACTGCTGCAGGAGTATCTTAATAATCTGAATATCGTTTGTTTGGGGGGGGGATAACCAACCTACTAGCCACTGCATCACTGTGTCCCATGAATCGCTGTCCTGAAGGGAAATAAACTAAAGTGACAAAAACATTTTTTGTGCCAGGCTGCTAAAATGCTTTTAAATTCCCTGTAACATGAGAGTTAGTCAGAGCTCATTCCCAACTCTCCAGTGGCCAGTTATGAATTCACATTTTTTAGCTTTTCTCATTTTCAGCTTTTTTTTTTAAACTGATATAGAACCTTTTACACTTTATTGCACTTTTCAGTAAATCTAATGAATGAAATAATAAGTTATTACTAGTTTGTTAGCTGACAGCTTGCAAACCACGAGTAGTACCTGCTGTATGTCATAACCTTTCCAGTGTGGCAGGCCTAAGTTTCTAGCTGAGAGAAGGCTTTAGTCTTCTGAGCACTGGCAAAGCTATGGGCTATTTCTGCCTAAAATAAGAAGAGTTAGGTAATCACTTACGCAGTGTGGGCTGGCTGTCTTGTAGTCGAAGGTCGTGTGGTCTTGGCCTTTGTGGTATCAATGACGTCTCTTTCTGAGGGCCTTTTCTGTGATTGGTCTTTCTGGAAGGGGTTGGTGCCAGGTTGAACACGCCTCAGGGCACCTCTATCACGGATGTACACCTGTTCTGGAGCCACCTCTTCACAGCGGGCGCCCTGGAAGCCTGAGCGACACACGCAAGTATGTGGCCGGCTGCATGAGCCACGGTTTTGGCAGGGGGGCTGACAGTCAGCTGAAGAGAGACCACAGATGGAGATCAAGTTATCAGCAGGTCAAGTCAAGGCATGTACCCCCTGTGTACGAAAGGGCAGAAACAGAAAAGGCTTTGCCTGAACACAAGGGTCCACTTTAAATTGATTTAATCGAGGGGCCATTAGTTTCACTTTTTAACCAAGTTGCTCCTATTCCTTCAGCAGAGCCCCGACCTAAGAGCCTGTAGGGGCTGTCAAGTACAATTTCTCTTGTGTTTTAAACTGACCTGTTTAGTCTAAATGTATATAATCACTTACATTAAATCCTTACCCAATTTCACTCTGAGTTAAAGCCTTTAAGACAAGTTCATGGCTCTTTCCAGTGAAGCTGGTATTTCTATATACAGAGCTTTCCTAAAAAGACCTTTTGTCTCTGATCTAGAGACCAGTATGTGCGTTCACTATAGCACAGCCAGTTCAAAAAGGTAATAAAAGAAAGCAATCATAAAAAATAAGCAAATAGGAAAAACTGTACAGGAGGCCAACTGCAAATATCTGACACTTCATCAAAGAAATGTCTTGTAAAGCTGAAAAACAAACTAAATCTGATGGGGCTTACGGTACTTAAGAGATGAATGTGTGCATAATATTTATCAATAGTCTGAAAATACAAAGTACTGAGGTTATTTCATGGTCATGGAAAAATAATCTATGTCACTCTACAAGCCCACCCACATCCTCCAGACACTTCAAATACTGAAAAACACTGTGGCACGCAACTTACAGGAAATTCTGACTGATACTAATATTATACTGATATTTTGGAGTGAAACTTGAAACCAATTTTCAGCAATTCAAAATTTTTGATGTATTAATATTTGAATATTACAGTTTTATCAGGCAATGTTTTTGACATACATGCATACAGTACTGTGCAGGTCTCAAGCTATCCCTCTTTTCTTCATATTTTCCTACAAAAATGCAAAATGGGTTCAGAGATTTTTAGAAACATGCAGACATAAATGGAAGAACAGAGTCTGCACAATTCTAACAAGCTCGAAAGTCAATGTTTGGTATGACCACCTTATAACAGCCAAAACTCTCTTATCCAAGCATTCTTGCCAATTTTGTTTAAATAGTCTTCAGGAATAGTGCTCCAGGCTTCATGAAGGACATTTAAAGGTCTCCTTTCGATGTTGGCTGCATTTTGTTTCATTGTCTGTCAAGACAATCGCACATTGCTTCAGTAATGTTGAGGTCCAGGTTCTGGGAAGGCCAGTCCATGTTTTTCTATCCAGGTATACTTTTACAGTATTGGTACTGTGTTTGGGATCATCGTCAAGCTGAAAACTGAAGCTGTTGCCCATCAGAAGCTCCAAGACACAGCCTCCACCATGTTTTACCAATGGCTGGAGACATTCCCTTCCTTAAGAACAGCATTTTGACAGCCACCCTTCCACTGACACCATTTCTCAGGAGGCTTCTATGAACAGTCGATGGATCAGCTGAAGGACCAGGTCCTATATCAGGTCTTTGCTGGGGGGTTTGTTCTCTTTCTTAAGGAAATGACTTTCAGATATACTGTTCTTTTAGGCCTAATACTTCCTGTTTTGTCACTTGCCCAGTTTCCTCAAACTTTTTTAAGGACACACTGCACACTGTGCCAAGACATGCCAGTCTTTGCTCCCATTTCTTTAGTTGAAAAATGCCAAATTACCCTGAACAAGACTCAGTCCTGTCTATTGCACATATGATGTATTAAACACAAACAAATATGCAATAACTGCTTATTAGTAGGGCTGCACAATTAATCGTTAGAAAATCGCAATCTCGATTCATACTTATGTGCGATCTCAATTCGAAATGACAACGATTAAAAAAAAAAGAAAGAAAAAAAAAGATGACAATTGTACCGCATTTTGTTCCGGGACATAAGCTGCATGAAAACAAGCGCTCACTCTTCCTGCTCAACAAATGACAAGGGCGAAGCCTTATACCACGTGATACAGAAGTCAGCTGGCAGGGAAAAAACAACGGAGAGCACGTGAGAGATGACGAAGCTGTAAAGGCCAAGAAAGTAACAGGAGAAAATCCGTCCCGGTCAACCACCCAAACATCAATAGCGGGAACCTTATACAGCACTTCCCCATAACCGTCAAACTCCTGCAGGCACAAAGAAATTACGGAGGCTATCACTTATCACCTGACCAAAGATATGGCTCCCATCAACACTGTTCAAAACAAGGGATTTAGGAAAATGATCAACACCCTAGACAAACGCTACACAATGCCGTCCCGCAACTATTTTAAAAATATTGCACTACCTGCTCTATTCACGCAGTGTCAAGCAACGGTGGAGACGGAATTACAAGCAGTACAACATTTTGCGGCAACGACAAAATGTTTATTTATTGTTTTTATGTTCAGTCTCAACTGTTACGAAGTTGATGTGCAGTTAATAAGTGCAAGAAATATTTATATTGGAAAAGAAAATCGTGAGAGAATTGTGATTTATGCAAAATCGTGCAGCCCTACTTATTAGCTTTCCAGAAGTGTATTTCATGGACTCCTTAGCAACTTGCCGTAAAGATGCTACCACAATGATTTGCATACTCTGCTACATGTGCTACAGACAGCGCTCAGTGGAGGCACGGCTGCTCAAACTTATGTGGTGATGTCAAAATTCGTTTTCGAATTGCTCCACAAAGTTTTCATATTGACTGTACCACAGGATATTTATGTTGATACCATATATACCATATATATATATCAATATCGAGCAGCTCTAATTTACAGATAATAAGCTCTCAATCTCGGGATACGAATGTATGCAGTTGAAGGCCCTCGAGGATTCATGGCATTATCCTCAAACACTAAATCGAGCCACTGGTCTGTAGTGGCTAAAGCAAACAGCAGCGCTCTGTCAACATGGCTATGGAATGCTATTGACACAGATGCTGGAGTGGACACTGACAAATCACAGGCAGGAACGCAGCCACAGCTCTTGGCAGTGAGGAGCGCTGGCAGTCAGATGGACCCCACTGGGTGCGAACGGCGCTCTACCTGCTGCACACTTCCTGTTATTGCAATACTGGTATGACTTTGGACATTTTATGTTTCCTTTTAGTCTTGAGCGAAAGCACAAGAGGACCAAGAGGATGCTGTTTCTGATGACAGGAGATCAAACTGACAGGAGGAAACATGACAGCGCTGTGTAACAACTGTGGCGTCACACATTTACTTTCAAAGATAAGATATGAGTGCCAAATCTGCGTTTGTAGCTCTATGTATTGGTTTTCACATTAAAGCCCTTGAATAGTTAATTGAAAACCACTCCATTATGCATCGTCAGGCTGTGGTATGATCAGAAATCCTAACAAATTGCGGATTAAATATCAGACATTCACCGCTCTTTTCAGTTTCATGGTGGAGCACATTTTATTTAGACCACCTAATTCATTTCTTTTTAATTACTCTGAGGAAAATGTACACCCCATTTGATGAAGTGTACACATGGGAAGAAATGTGGTTGTAGATTTGTATGACTTGGTATGTGATCCGAATTTTCCATCATGGGATAAAACAGGGATTGTCTGAGCTCTACTTGGCAAGAATCAAAATACATCATCTAACTAAAGCACGGGCTGGCTGGATGCCACCGTCTTGTCCGGAGTCTGCTTAACCTCAAGTTTGTGGATGAAGCAGTGGATCAACTAGGCCAAAGATTCCCGGGACATTATGCTGGAGGGACAAACTAGGTATAATCAAACTGTATTCTTCAAATAAGCTTTTAGAAACAAAATGACCAAAGTGCACAGAGGGAAAAATAACCGATTCACGGCTGGCTTACGATGAGATATGTTCAATCGCGTGACCCGTTTTCAGCTGCGAGGCGCATAATTGACACCAGACAAACAAATGCTGCCTGTGCTGCTGTCAGCACAGGCAAGTCAGTGACTCTGGACCTGACATATGCCCCATACGAACCTCACATAGGCCGTGACGCCGTATACCGTGGGTATCTGTGTTGTCTCTGTGCCCTGCCTCTGGGCTGTTGAGCACATTGTCACAGTAATTGCTGCCTTCCAGATTTGTCTTGCACATCATTAAAACTAATTGCCTCGCATTCCATCCATTTCACAAATATGCGCAGCAATTATTACTTTGCGAGAGTAATAATAAAATGAGAATCCATTGGAAATAAAAGAGGAGAAATGGCAAACATTCCTGGCATTTGCCGCTTCAGCCTTAATTATGAGTGAGGCAGACGGGCCAAGTTTTTGGAGTTTGCGTCCACATCCAGTCATCTGAAAAGAGGAGGGCTGCTGGACGGGTATCGAAAGCTTTGATCGATGAGCGCAAACACGCTGATCCACACACATGAGAAATGAAGGAAAAAATCTTTAGTCTTTAATGTCCAAGTGGCATCTTTAAGGAAGTGCTTGACAGCTACGGTTAAAGCAAATCTCCATCCAAAATTCACTCATGCAGTGAAGAAATACTTTCCTTTAAATTGCTTCATTTGGAAAAGTTCTTGTTTGCATAATAACTCCTCACCAATATATAAGCAATGCCAGGGGTTTTACTGTTTATAGTTTCTTTATTGGGTTACAGTTACCTCATAACTTCAGGTTTGCATGTGCACGTAAGTCAGACAGATTCTTGTGCCTCTTCCTCTGGTCTCTCGTTTCCAGCTCAGCGCTCGTTTCCAGCGCATTACAGTCCACCAGAGATTTGCCTTCCCTTCTCTCTGATTCAAAGTAACACAACCCATTAAATCTTTACAGTCCTTTCATTCTGCAAAGGGTGACCTGAAACCATATCTGACACAATACAAACTTGTAGAAAAATCTCCTCGCTTTACACAGGTCAGAAGAGCAAGCAAGAGGTAACCTGACATTTCTGAAAATAATATTGGTATTGAAAGCCTAATCACAATAATCTCGGGAAGGACCCGCTACAGGCTGAGAGCATTATGCACCATTATGAGATTTAGAGGCTGAAAGCTGCTCTGGAGATTAGAATTCAGTACAATATGATA